AGGTACAAGTATGTTAGCTATACAAGAAAACACTCTCCTTCCTTTCTGTAGATACATTCAATGGGTTTTCTTCTGTAACTGGCTCATGCTGTCACTGGCTTTGACGTTTGCAGGCAGTCTCTTCCACTCCTTTATTGCTGTACAGTAAAATTTGCTTGAAGCCTGACCACAGACTGTGGGTACTACAAAATTGTGTTCCTTTTCCCTAGTGCCATAATTGCTTTGGTTCCCAGCCTTCACAAACTTAGCAGCAAGATATTCTGGACACTGAACAATTTTATAAACATGATTTAGTTTCAGTTGTTTTACTCTGTACTCGACATTCAGCATATCCAGTTGTTGTAATTCATCCTGGCCTACATGCTTTCTTGGACCCAGATCCAGGATTAATCTCACCATTTTGTTCTGGGTGATCTGTAGTCCATCTTTCAGTTTTTTGTTAAAGCAGAGTACTGCAGCGTATCTTCTTCACACACTACTATCGACAGTATTGCCATTAGAATCAACTACACTTCAGATATGAACACAATTCGGAAAACGTATATCAGGTGGCCAGGCCTCAAACACTTTCTTTATTATACAGCGATAAAAGGTTTGAATGAGTTATCTGATCAGATCAAAGCCAGTTGTAAGTATAAATCAATTTAAGAGTAGAGCTGAAGAATGCATGATGAATGAAGTTGCAGAAAAGGAGGAAAGTGAATTTTTGCATTATCAAATCCTGGCAATAATGTGAGTTCGTAATGTGACAAATAATGTAAGTATATTTAGGTATAATTAAACAATTGTTGATGATCACAGACAGACACACACACACACACACACGCACACACACACACACACACACACACACACACACACACACACACACACACACACACACACACACACACACACACACAGGGGCCAGGAGCTTGGACTCGACCCCCGCAACCTCAAGTAGGTGAGTACACACACACACACACACACACACACACACACACATATACTACAGGAATAGTGTCTAATCGACATGTGCCTAGGACAAAATGGCAACTAACAACACACACACACACACACACACACACACTAAGATAACAACATAAAATACTGCGAGGAATTGACAAGATTGACAGAGACAGGATATTCCAGAGATGGGACACAGCAACAAGGGGTCACAGATGGAAGTTGAGAACTCAGATGAGTCACAGGGATGTTCAGTATTTCTTCAGTCATAAAGTTGTCAGGAAGTGGAACAGTCTGGAAAGTGATATAGTTGAGGCAGGATCCATACATAGCTTTAAGAAGAAATGCGATAAACCTCATGGAGCAGGGAGAGAGCAGACCTAATAACGACCAGTGAAGAGGTGGGGCCACGAGTTATGAATCGACCCCTGCAACCACAAGTAGGTGTCTGGAAAAAAATGAACGACTGGAAGTGCTTGAGAAAGTTTTCAGAATATAGCAACGAACATCATCTTCAAAAGCCAGTCTCCCACCTGAACACTTCACCTGAAGACATCCCTAGCATCAAATATCGTGTAACGCATAAGAATCCTTTTTTGGAGCATTGAATCCTTTCAGTTAAAGACGAGCAAACTCTTTCACAGAAGCACAGCATCTTTCTTTGGACAGAGTTTAGCGCCTTTCATGGATATTTGATGATACTTCACATGTGATCGCTTCTCCACGTCGGCAAAGAAAAAAAAACAGTAACCTCTAAATAAATTTGCTGTCTATAAGTACTTAATTTACAGAGTTCTCCTCTCTCTCTCTCTCTCTCTCTCTCTCTCTCTCTCTCTCTCTCTTCTCTCTCTCTCTCTCTCTCTCTCTCTCTCTCTCACTCTTTCTCTCTATAATTTTTTACACTGACTGCACTTCCAGGAGGACTGATTGCATGGCTCCGGTGAAAGTGTCTTGATCCAGGGAACTGGGGCTACCTCCCTCAATGATCGTCCCTGATAACCTATGGTGTAGAAATATACCTAGTTGGACGAATCTTATTGTGGCTAGCTGGTCCGGTGGCTAACGCGACGGTCTGGAGTTTTGAGACTCTCTGACCTCGGGTTCAAATCCCGCCCGTGGTATGGTTTAAAAAACAGAGGGTGGCGGCTCCCTCCTGCAACCCAGCGGTACAGCTGGACGCGGTGTTGTGAAGCCTCAGTGGTTCCTATCTTAGAGAATGACGCTCAGATACAAAACTGGAACGAATCATGGACAAGCTGTAGCTAGACGCTTGGGTAACGCTGAGTGGCGAGACTTCTCTTATCAAGTATCGTGAGCTGTACCTAACTCTCCTACAGCGTATGAAGAACAATTTTGTGCCTTAGGTTGAATGTGAAAAAAAATTAGAAATGCCTATGGTTGGTTAATGAGGTTCAAAAGCTATCGACTGCACGAGGGTCATTAAGGTCGCACAGTAACATTTTCATTAGTGGACAACGATGCTTTAATCCCTGAAACACGCCAAGGAAAAATGCATCCCTTAGGATATAATATTGTAACCAAGAACTAGTGGTATTTAATCAGTAACAACACTGCGACTAGCCGGGGGATCGAACCCGTGTTTTTTAGCCCGCCTTATGGTGAGAGAAAATTCATGACGCTATAACGCACTGGACCATACAATCCTACAAGATATAGGGTATATATATCCTACGAGGCGCTAATCTGTTTTGCATGAGCAATAAGATGTCAGGTAACAGTGTACAACGTAATTACACAAACAACCCGCACATAGCTGAAAAAAATTATGACGACTTCATAAGTCATAAATTTCTCTCTCCTATGTGCGGATTATTTGTGTATTGTTCCATCCTCGGTATTGTGACGTTTTATTAATAATGCTTATATAAGTACAATGATAAATGCTTCACTTGCCACTGGAGGGATTATGCTACATTTTATGCAATATGTATATATATATTATATTATATATATATATATATATATATATATATATATTTATATATATATATATATATATATATTTATATATATATATATATATATATATATATATATATATATATTATATTGCATGAAATGTTATTATTAGCGTATTTAATATAAGTGAACATGCTACGGTGGTACCATTTAAAATATTTAATGTGACTGTGGCAAATAGCAAGTGAGGCACAGCTAATTTCCTTGAAATACTGTGTACTCAGTGAACGAGAGTAAATAGTATAATAATACCGATATGATGTAGAAATTGGTGATGTACAGTTAAAGGCTTTTGTTACAGGAAATGTTTCTGTAAATAAATTACATTAGGCTCATGAATTTATAACAACACAATTGCAAACAAATTCCAGAATTGGTAGGACTGGAACTCATGGCAGGTTAGCCCTAAAACTGGTATAGAGTTAACTAAATGTTAATTTTTCAGCAGAGCTATTTTTAAACCTTTATTGTAGATATGAATAAGATAGAATCCAAAAATTTAGAGACAACTTTCTGACAATTATTCAAGAATTTTTCAGTTATTTTTGCTTTAGTTTCTTTTATTCTTTTCTTCTTCTATTTTGGGATATGCAGATAACTGCAGGGGTTGGGATGTGTCAGTTGTTTTATTTATACTACTGACGCAATACCAACGTGCCTTGATAGTTACCCACACTTCGCCTGTTGTAAATAACTCCTCACCACCTCAGCCTACCTAACCAATAAACCTCTCTGGACACACTCCAGAAACCCACTGTGAACGTTTGAGAAAAACAAATAACTACATCACACAGGATGGATATGAGAAACTAGAAAAACAAAACAATAACATGACTTCCCACAAGAAACTGTATCAAAGAGCAGCCTTCAGCGCATCTGAAAAATCTTCCAAAGATTTTTTATGACTTGAAAGCATTGTCGAAGGCAGAGGACATGGCGGTCCTGTTGTGTACTTCATCGGTATCATTCACACAGCCGTGTGTTACGTTCATCTGTTTCACCCAGGCTGGATGGGGCCCGCAACTGGCGTTCCGGCTTTTCCTGAAGAAAAATAAAATATTAGGTTGAGAACACTCACTTGTAGACAGAAAATGGTATAAAAAAATAGACTGAATATTTCGATTTCCGTTTTAGACCTTCTTCTGCAGACGGAGATCGAAATATAGTCTTTTTTTTTCTTTTTACACCGTGCTTCACCCTACACGTGATTTTCTCAGCTCATTAGTCAGCATCCGCTACTTTCTCACGTCTCAAGACCCACCGAATGGGTGGGGCTTGAACCTATGACCAGCAAGTTCTAAAACTGACAGACCAGAGTGTTATAAACTGGAACATACTGCATCTGTACGATTGTACAAGTAAAGAAAAAAGACGAATATCCTCTCCAGTAGAGCGCTAAAATTCATTCGTAAACTAAAATGAGAACATGACAATACGACTGGATGGGGACAGAGGTGGATGAACGCACCACGACACATGGAAGACAACTCAGGGGATTTTATTTTCCTCTGGTTTCGTAGATTCATTACATTTGGTACTTTTAAGGACGATACTTTGACGCTGGTGAAAGGCTCGTGATCCAAGGACATTACAGCTACTTTTCCTTTCCTAGAATTCAATCCCTTCCACTCCCCAGGTGCTGGCTGTATGGACCTTAATGATTTAATGCTCTCTCATGAACATGATTATTATGTTCAGTGTAGCCTTAAGCAGCCCAACTGACTTAGCGAGACTTTAACGCTGTACTTTCTGTCACACTTTCAACTTCCACAAGACTGAGAAGTCAAACCATTTTCTTCTTCAACTTTGATTAATAATAACAATAATAAAAATAATAATAATAATAATAATAATAATAATAATAATAATAATAATAATAATAATAATAATTATTATTATTATTAGTATTATTATTATTATTATTATTATTATTATTATTATTATTATTATTATTATTATTTAACAAACCGGTCGCATCCCACTGAGGCAAGGTGATCCAAAAAGAAAAACGAAAGTTTCTCTTTTTAAATTTAGTCGCCTCTTACGACACATATTATTATTATTGTTATTTTTATTCAGTCAGCCTGGAACGTACCGTAGATACTGTTAACGTAGTGAAGGTCTGCCGCAGCCTTGCCTGACAGTGGTGGTGGTTCTGGCATTGGTCGACACACTTTGTTATTAGCGCTGTAGCTCTCGTGGGGATTGTAGCGACCTCGGGCGTACATGAAGGAGTTGTAGATGAGATAAAGGAACCACTCTACGACCTCTGCTATGAGAAAGACTGAGAGTCCCAGGTAGAGAGAGAGGGCGCCTCCAAGGGCGCTCACCAGGTCGGTCAAGTCCTGGCAAGAACCACAAGTATGAAGGTCAGTATGATAACAAGTGAGCAAGCTCTTTAGTGCTCACTGTGACCTTTACCTGCCACGAAAGGTCATGAGCTTTGCTGCTGCTTTTGGCTGCCATTAATGCCTATGACTGATCATAATGCAAGTAAATCATTGCTAGAAAAAATTCAAAACACACACCAACACATTTTTCTTCAGGCGACGTATGAATGCACGATACCTATAATAATAATAATAATAATAATATAATATAATAATAATAATAATAATAATAATAATAATAATAATAATAATAACATAATAATAATAATAATAATGATGATTATATAATAATAATAATAATAATAATAATAATAATATTAATAATGATAATAATAATAATGATAATAATAATAATAATAATAATAATAATAATAATGATAATAATAATAATAATAATAATAATGATAATAATAATAATAATAATAATAATAATAATAATAATAAATAATAATAATAATAATAATAATAACAAATAATAATAATAAATAATGATAATAATAATAATAATAATAATAATAATAATAATGATAATATAATAATAATAATAATAATAATAATAATAATAATAATAATAATAATAATGATAATAATAATAATAATATAATAATAATAATAATAATAATAATAATATAATAATAATAATAATAATGATAATAATAATAATAAAAAATGATAATAATAATAATAATAATAATAATAAATAATAATAATAATAATAATAATAATAATAATAATAATAATATAATAATAATAATAATAATAATTCGATGTACTTACATTATACACTGCTGTCTGGTTGACGGTATCAAAGTTGAGAGTATTGAAGAAGATAAACAATTGCAGTAGATTCTCGTCTGCATGTTTTGAGTACTTGCTTTCTACTTCCCTCTGTGGAAGTAGAAAGGTGGTGGTGAGGATGGTGGTGGTGAGGATGGTGGTGGTGAGGATGGTGGTGGTGAGGATGGTGTGGTGAGGATGGTGGTGGTGAGGATGGTGGTGGTGAGGATGGTGGTGGTGAGGATGATGGTGGTGAGGATAGTGGTGGTGAGAATGATGGCGGTGAGGATGATGGAGGTGAGGATAATGGTGTGTGAGGATGGTGGCGGTGAGGATGATGGTGGTGAGGATGGTGGTGGTGAGGATGGTGGTGGTGAGGATGGTGGTGGTGAGGATGGTGGTGGTGAGGATGATGGTGGTGAGGATAGTGGTGGTGAGAATGATGGTGGTGAGGATGGTGGTGGTGAGGATGATTGTGGTGAGGATGGTGGTGGTGAGGATGGTGGTGGTGAGGATGATGGTGGTAAGGATGGTGGTGGTGAGGATGATGGTGCTGAGGATGGTGGTGGTGAGGATGGTGGTGGTGAGGATGGTGGTGGTGAGGATGGTGGTGGTGAAGATGATGGTGGTGAGGATGGTGGTGGTGAGGATGATGGTGGTGAGGATAGTGGTGGTGAGAATGATGGTGGTGAGGATGATGGAGGTGAGGATAATGGTGGTGAGGATGGTGGCGGTGAGGATGATGGTGGTGAGGATGGTGGTGGTGAGGATGGTGGTGGTGAGGATGGTGGTGGTGAGGATGGTGGAGGTGAGGATGGTGGTGGTGAGGATGGTGGTGGTGAGGATGATGGTGGTGAGGATAGTGGTGGTGAGAATGATGGTGGTGAGGATGGTGGTGGTGAGGATGATTGTGGTGAGGATGGTGGTGGTGAGGATGGTGGTGGTGAGGATGATGGTGGTAAGGATGGTGGTGGTGAGGATGATGGTGCTGAGGATGGTGGTGTGAGGATGGTGGTGGTGAGGATGGTGGTGGTGAGGATGGTGGTGGTGAAGATGATGGTGGTGAGGACGGTGGTGGTGAGGATGATGGTGGTGAGGATAGTGGTGGTGAGAATGATGGTGGTGAGGATGATGGAGGTGAGGATAATGGTGGTGAGGATGGTGGCGGTGAGGATGATGGTGGTGAGGATGGTGGTGGTGAGGATGGTGGTGGTGAGGATGGTGGTGGTGAGGATGGTGGAGGTGAGGATGGTGGTGGTGAGGATGGTGGTGGTGAGGATGGTGGTGGTGAGGATGATGATGGTGAGGATAATGGTGGTGAGGATGATGGTGGTGAGATGTGGTGGTGAGAATGATGGTGGTGAGGATGATGGTGGTATGAGGTGATGGTGGTGAGGATGGTGGTGGTGTGGATGGTGGTGGTGAGGATGATGGTGGTGAGGATGATGGTGGTGAGGATGGTGGTGGTGAGGATGATGGTGGTGAGGATGATGGTGGTGAGGATGGTGGTGGGGAGGATGGTGGTGAGTGAGGATGATGGTGGTGAGGATGGTGGTGGTGAGGATGATGGTGGTGAGGATGGTGGCGGTGAG